CCCCCCCCCCCCCACACACACACACACACACACACACACACACACACACACACACACAAACAAAAACAAAACATTAATGGACACATCCAATGAGCAAAAGGAGAGTTTACAGTCACGAGACTGCAATATACGCAGACTAAGGCAGAGCTGTAAAGAACAGGGTGACTGACAGTAATCCTGAATGATCCCATCTGGTTTCTGACTCTGGTTGCTTGTTTGAATAGATCATAAGCTTAGTTACAAACATTATTTCACCCCGCAGCATTATGGAAAATGTCTGTGACAAGACCGCTTTTAACCTGCCACATTTAACTGAATCCTACACGAGTAATAAATACCACACAAGAGACACACAACATTTAATTTAGTCAGGGAGCACCGCTGGAACCGATGTCCCCAGTTTCGTAAGCGGCATATTTTCATTGGGTAGAGGATTATTCAAAGAAAATTAAACTATAATGCTCCTAAAAATTGAGAAGAAATGTCAACATGGCCCAAAGTAAATAGAAGAAAAAAAAAAAGTTTCTATATACAAAGTAAAACACACACACTCGGCATACAACGAACACATTTGCTAAAATTAATACCCAAAAGAATTCCGTAAGAAAAAGCCAAATGTAGCAAACCATGAATCTCAGCCTAAGATGCTCAGAGCTGAAACTGAAAGCAAAACCTCACCTTCAGCCAATTGGCGTATAGGTCGCTTTTTCCTTGGGTGGAATTTGTCATCTCGCTCTTTCAAAGGAAATGTTAGCCCTGAAAACCAGCACACACAAAGCAAAAACCTTCATCCTGTTAAAAAAAAAAAAAAAAAAATCATTGCATTTTTTACCTGTAAATCTATTCATTTGCAAGCATTGTTCAGAACAGGAAGTATCGTCTTGGATCTTTGGAGACACCAGAGACTCAGAGGATCTCCAGATTCCAGAGGTTTTCTAGAGAGCCAACTGATTCCCACATTGTGCAGCTGCAGAAGTTTTGCAGTCACATGTTTTTGCACAAATCCTGAAATACTGCATATATAATAAAAACGTATCATTATGTATATTTTTTCACCTTCAAAACAAAGGCGTAAGCTACCCCCCGGCAGTTCTCTGTTCTGCATTTTGACTTAGTTTAAGGTTTAGTTGGGTTTCTGCTGCGCACGCTTTGTTGATGCAAATAATCTTGCTTCATGCTTTCAGCGGTGTTGGATGACTGTGTGCGCTCGCATGTGTGTGTCTGTGGGAGGCGGGGTGTCACTTCTCAGGGATCTCCATGAACTTTGAGACTGTGAGGTCACACATTCGCTGACAACTTAACCACCTGTTGCCACACACACACACACACACACACACACACACACAAATAAGCACATATCCTCACCTTCCCACTCACATCAACATTCACTACACGCCCCATCTCTGCTCAGTTGGAGGTTTTAGTTTACAGGATCATTACACAATAAAAATGATGCGGATGTCTCGGTCGCGCGGTGCGTGCGCATGTGATCCTCCCAGAGTTTCAGCATGGATATTTTACATTTCTCTGTCTAGACCAAATGGTCTTATCGCAGGCAAAAAAATAAACAACCTTAACAGTCGCACTAGCTGAAAATATATATAAGCATTTTTTTTTCCTTGAGCAAATGCTACATTTCAGATGCTTTCACGACAAAAAAACAAAAACTTGCATTCACACGCACGCATAGAAAAAGCCATCTGAAATCATTCGAATGAATACGATATTGACTGCCTTCAAAGGTCGTGATATGAAAACATATGTTTTATTTGGCTCAAAGAGGTCACAGAACACGTTCATGTCCTTGGGCCAAAGGGGCTCGCTGATATAGAAGCTTTGCAGAGAGGAAGCTTTTCGGTCGACTTCACGGCAGGCCGTGGCGCACCTGACCCAGTCTAAAGAGCAGAAGCAGGTGCATTGGGGTTTTTAAGTGCGAAGGGTCACACAGTCCTTTATAAACACATTTACCCCCCCTCCCAGCCCACCCACTCCCACCCCCTGCTATATACAGAGTGATATACCTCAGGTTTATGTCTCTGAGGCTGCAGCTCAGACGGGCGTCCACAGAGCTAAAGTCCTGTCAGATATGCAGACACAGTTTGCTACGTGTCACTCTCCCAGAGTTTTGACCCCAGTACTCCAAAAACGGGACGTCTCCAGTGGTCTTTCATTGCAATGATGTCATGGTGTTAATATGCGTTAGGGCTGCAGTTACGTTGTGTAAAAGGGAGTCGTTTATTTTTTCTTCAGTCTGAGCGATGAAAAGGCTGTGCCTCTAGTGCATGTCAATACGTGGACCTAACTGAAAGAACTCTGAGGCCTGGAATAACAAGCCTTGTTTCGGAGCTCCATCCAAAGTTGGGCAAAGTCATGGTGGCGGAGTAAGAGGCAATACGAGGGTCATCGGGACTCCTACCAGGGGCTGAAGCACTCGCTTTGATCGCCTGGAGCTGCCCAGTTTGAGCCCAGCCGTTCCAGTTGTGTCGGCAGCCTCCTCCCAAAGTTTGTTCCTTTAGAAACCGCTGCAGCTGCACATTTATGTGGTAGAAACCATGCTCAATAGATACAGCCGCTCATTAACCGGTCACTCTTTGTCCACAGTTTAGCCTGATGCTGTGTCAGCATAAGGATAGTTAATTCATAGAATGTTTTGAGCCTAAAAGTAAATTGCGCCTCTCCCTGGGTGCAATTTCTGTTTTTGTGACATGTCAGAGTCAAATTTAGCCCATATGGGCAGTGACCTGTGATGCCCCACCTCCCGGCTGGCTACTGGCCACCCCTAAAGTCCGTGAGTCGAACAAGAAGCCCTGCTGTCCTGCACTGAGCACACCAAGACTGTCTGTTAAGGTCCCACTGGGAGATGAGCCAAGAAAGGGGCTCTGATGACTGGCTGTAGCAGCGGTGGCCATTTTGTCAGGGCTGGCAGCGAGGCGTGGTGAGGGGGGGAAGGTGTAGCCATACAGGCTGTAGGGCGGCGTGTGGAGGCGGAGGCCGGCGTAGCCCTGCGAGGTGGGGTTGGATAGGTAGCCGAGCTGAGCAGTGGGGAGAGGCAAGGAGCAGAATCCTTCCCCCTCGTACCCGGATGGACCTCTGGGAGCGGGGAAGGGCTCCGAGGTGGTGCCGTAGCGGTGGAGGGGGTGTGTGGGCCGACTACAGGTGTAGTCTGGTGGGCTGAGGGGGCAAACCTGGAAAGGCGACGAGCACGGGGATGTGGAGAGAAGGTGAGATGATGTTCCTACTCCCGGATGACCTCCTACAGAGAAGAGAGACCAGCTTTTACTGAGCTGACAGTGATCAAATATGATATATGGATTGAGGAATGACAGAATGGGGTGCACCAACCAAATGGACTCAATGGTCATCTGATCCAGTAGTCATAGAAGACTAATTATATGCTAAATCTGGGCCAAATGAATTAGATTGAGTTCTTGCGCTGTCATTGGTCATAATCATCCCCATCTCTTTAAGTTACCAAGTGAGCTTTTTCTACCCGAAACCAAACGGCATCTATGCTGTGGGAAGCATCGGTCAACGAATCCCATTATTATCCAAAAGCTCTTTGACATTCACCTTGTTTCGCCATGCCAGGGATGTCCTCGAATGTGAGTGTTCGCAGAGATGGACGCCAGAATGCATACGACTCAACCAAAGCCTCCAGGCCCATCCTGTAAAAGACACACAAACGCACCGTTTAGCAGACCAATGGCATTGCTCGCAAAATGATCTACAACTCTCCGACAGTCTCACTACTTTGCGCCAACCACCTGGCGGCCATCTTAGTCGCCTGTGGGGCCTCTCTCGCCATCTCTATGGAGACCGTGGGTAATGAGGAGCATAAACGCCACGTTGCGATTGGCTGCTGCCGGTCGGGTGCTTAGAGGTAATTGCTTTCACACGGCTTTTACGGGCGAATCAGGACGAAGAAGCAGGAAGCCGCAGCAGCGATTTATGAGGTGGGACTCCCCTCCCCCCCACCCCTCAATCCAAGTCTCCCTCCTTCTCTAGGTGGGGCGGAGGGTTGATGTGGCGGTGTAATGCGAGTGCTCTGTTACCGCTCGTTAGCGTGAGGATAAAAGTCCCCCCCACCCCCACAAGGTTGTAGCCTCGGTGATAATTTAGACAAGCTGCCCGGAGTGGGTTCTGTGTGCTCCACAAGCGGCCTATCAGAGCAGAAGTTTATTTAGCAAACTGCTTAACTCTTCCTGTAATATTTAAGGGGAGTTTTTCAGCCTTCCTGGGTTCAGCTTTTATGGGGTCAGCTGTCAAGGTCTCTGGGTTATCCAGCTTGCCGTTCACTACCTTCCTCTCTCTCCAAAAACTTTTCTGTCTTACACGTATGCATCTCCTTCCCTCTGCCCCGGCTCCAGCTCCCTCCTCTCTAATGATTTCTGTGAGGCCTCCGGGGAGTGGCTGTTTGGAGACTGCTGGAGTTTTACTGCTGTGTTGTTTTAATGCTGTGTTTATATATGTTTAGAAATGTGTTTATACAGATTTTCTCCGGGACACTCTTGATTTTATTATTTTGCTGTTGATGTTGAGGTTGGCTGGAATCTGACGCTCCATTAAGATTTGCAGCCAAACTTACGGTTTCACTCTCAAAGCATGCGTCTGCAGCGGCGCGATTGTCAAAATGCATTTGCTCTCCGAGTTAGCACACAGAAATGAAAAATGCATCACGGAGAAACCTTGACGATCCGTGCCACCTCTTTTCACTTTAGTGGGTTTCCATTTTAGGACGGATTTAATGAAGGCCTGTCGCACATTTTCCGTAAGAAATGAATAAATATACACAGAGCTTTGCTCCCCATAAAATCTGGACGAAATTGTAGCGACAAAAACCGCAACCGAGCCAGGGTATAACACAGTCATGCATCCCACAGTATCCCTAATGCACTAGATAATGTGAAAATCTCTGTGGTTGAAATGAACTCACCGGTTTCTACCAGAGTCTCTGAAGCCTTTGGCAAAGGGGTTTCTGTCAATTTTCAGCCTTGTAATCTGAAAGCAAAATAAGACTCTTATTATTTCCCAAACCTTCTCTCCATGATAGCATACACTGTGCAATGGAAGATTTTTTTTCTTTCTTTTTTTTTCAAGCCAGAATAATTTCCCTCTCTGTAATCTTCCAATCATCTCTAAACAAAAATACATTAGTGTGCATGCTGCACTGTTGATTGCCCTGTGTGTTTGTGTGGCGTGCAGGCTGCCATGGGGCGGATCTGGCTGTGGGTGGCGTTTAAGGCCGAGCTCTGTGACCCGCGTCCAAAGGGATTTTTATTGCCGTCGCCACCATGTTCTGACTCCGGCCATTGAGGACTGTGGGCCAGCCGACCTCGGCTAATATCCTACTTCAAAGCTCCCACTGACTGTTCCAGTGCAAAAACGCAGGACAAATTTGCAACTATTTCTAGTGGACACCACATTTTAAAGTAGGTCAGTAAAAATCCAGAAACTGCGATGTACTGAACAATTTTTGCCAAAGAGATTTTTTAATTTTTGTAAAAGTTTTTTTTTTTTAGATAAAATTCTTAGAATGCTTCTTTTAAAACTGGGCTTATTGATCAAGGTAAAACTTGCAACTACAGATGTGCTCGAAATCTTCAATTTCCATTAATCTGTTATAAAAATAACAAAAATATCTGTCCACAAAGCTTGTATCTTTAACTATATTTTGGAGTTCAGATGTTGTACCTGTTGGTTCTGGTATGCTGTAACGGTGGTGAACACGGTTTCGGGGAAGGAGAAGGTGAGGGTGCCTTCCCCCACTGGGACGGCTCTGACTGGAGATAACTCCTCTCCGCACTCCTTCCGGATCACGTGGACCCGGGGCTGGTACTTGTGCATGGAGTGCAGAATGATCTGAGGAGGGAGGGGGATATTAAATGAATGTGAGATAATGTGGACACATGAACACACCTCAACTTTACGATCCGTTTTCCCCTCCAGGTAAACTGTGGCTCTTACACACTGCAGCATTAACAGGTTTGAGCAGAATTGAATAAAAAACAACACATTAAAAGAAACAACGAAAACTAATTGTTGGTTAAAAGGCCCTTAAAGTTGCTATATAAATCAAGTTGAGCCAAAGATTTACCATAAGAATATAAAGAAATACGATGGTACGCACATGTCCCTGGTCATCCAGCTCATTGTTGGTCAGTTTGAGCTTGTCAAAGCTGATGACTTGGCGCATCCACGTCTCTCCAGAGGCCGGAGAGTCCGGGTGGATGTATACTCTGGGAGGCACTGGAGAGTCTGCATTCCCTGCCACCATCCACTTTGAGCTGTGATATACATACCTTAACAATTCACACATGGGATAATGATCAGGGGAGGGAACGTGACCACATGTCCAGTTATACTTTCTACCCTGACATATCAAGAATGACTTACTTCTCTGTTTTCAATAGGGTTTGTTAAATTACCAGTAATTCTTAAAAATTAAAGATAAGAACTATAAGCCTAATTATTTTTTGATAATATAGTCTCAATGGAATAAATTTGGGGATCAACAATGCATAATTTAAATTTCACATCCCTGCATCATTTCATTTGAAAACATTCAAGTCTCAGAAAAGACAAAAAGTGTCCTCTGTGGTTTTTAGAAGCAGCTTTTAATTAACTTGGATCAGCTGAAGGCTTTTGTCACTGCACAAAATGCGGCCATAGCCCCTCACAGTCCGCAGAAATAAACACAGGGGCTATTTCAGGGGTTTCGATCACCTGCTGTGAAACGTTTGGATGGGATTAAAACAGCAATCTGCATCCTCCGATTCTACGCTGCATTACATGAACACCCAGCCCATCTCAGGATGTCAGCCGTCACTCCATCGCGCTGATAAAATGCGCATCCAGTCAGAAACAAGTTCTGAAAGTCCGAAACCATGGAGAAAAGAACGTCCAAAAGACACGGCTGCATCGTTGATTCGGCATCGGCAACACACTGTTTTGTTCAGCTTTAGAACGACTTTTGTTGGTTTGACCCTCCAGACTAGAGAGGTTACGGGCATCCAAAAGGCCCCTCTCCAAAAGGGACGGCAAAACCGCCGTGACAAAACACCGGTGCCAAGCACCATTTGTGGGGAGAGCTGGGGCCGAGCAGAAAACCCTTAAAGCTTTCCCTCGAGCTGTATATACGGGAACTAAATTAAGACCACAGTCCGATTTCCGTAGCTCAAAACCCAGGGCCTGATCATCCTGCACTTTTCAGTTTTAATGTGTCAAATGGCTCTACGATGATACAAAATCAGTACGTTTTTTTTAAATTATAATAACATTATTGTTATTATTCATTATTATTATTTCTTAATTTATTGATCAAAATAAATCAAGAGTAAATTTATATAGTGTTTTTTTTTTTTTTTACATCATCCTGCGTCCTACCTATAGCGTTTGTTGTCCACGGGGATAATGTCCATGGCTATGTAGTACTGCTGGTGGGGGTCCAAGCCCGTAATTTTCACACGCATAGCAGGAAACATCCGCCTGAAAGGAAAAACAAATAAATCCTCAGCATCGGAATTAAAACGGAATCATTCTAAAGTCTGTTTCTGTAATAACAGTAATGATGGCAATAATGATGATAGTAATCCTGAACTATTAGAGATTGTGGCCTTTCTTTAAGACAGTTGCTACATCTTTGCTGAATCCCCCCAACTGTAACTCTTTCTGACAACTTTAATAGATCTTATTGTTGCTGAACTTTTTATCTATTTCGAGTGCGTAATTCTGTCTTTTCTTAGCATCAAAGTTCATTCCGGAATCCTTCAGTCATGGCTGATGTGTTCTTTCATAAGGTTTTGTTTTGGTCTTACCGTCCAGCCTTTGTGATAATCATCTCCGTGCCGATCTCGTGGAAGCGTTTCCACAGGTCTGATCCCTGCAGATCCACGCGGGTCTCCTCCCCGGTGCCGGCGGCCGGCGCCGCGCACGGAGCTGCGGGCTGCGGGCTCTCCAGCAGCGCGTCCTCTCCGCTCTCTGTTGGACCGGAAAGAAGCAGGTTTTACACCACCGAAAGGTTTTTTTTGTTTGTTTGTTTTTTACCGTTAAAATACTGACACAGCAACCCTGACATCACAGGTTGGTTTAAACAACAATAACAGAGATTTAAGCCATAATGAGCCATGACAAATATTGCTTATTAAAACCGCCCATGTCCCCACTTCTAGTCCCACATCTTCAAAAAGCTATTCTTAAAGTATTGCAAAATTAGATAAATAAAAACACGGGTTGGTCTTTTTACTCAATTAAACATCAAGCACATTAGTAAATATTTGTTAACAATATTTATTTGGGTATCTGAAAAGAAAGACATTTGCCCTGACTTAAATATGTAAAGATACTATTATGTGACAGAAGAAAAAAAAAATTGGCCAAAATGACATTCATTATTGAGGTCTTCTGTAAGAATTTAACGAGTTGGATTATAGTTGGGATCACATTTATTTGGATATTTGGGATACATTTAAAGGGCGCCCTAAAATGTGTGTCAGTGTGTCTCGTAGCTTTTGTTTTTTCCGTTATTCAACACACAATTCACTAAGTAGGGTGGAATTTATAGACATTATCAGTCAAACAAGCCAAACAAGTCGGCTGCCAAAGGCACTTTAGATTGTAATTTGTCAGGGACAGTTGCTTTATGCTTTCCGCAGACCTCTTGCTATCCTTTCCGTGGCACTATCCCTGCCTTTATACGCTGCTAATTGGCGTGTTTATGATTGAAACACAACTCATAAACCCCCTCACATTAGTCACACTCGCTGCTTATATTTACAAGACCAGGGCACTGATGTGATATCAAACCCTCACCCGGTGTTCTTTTCCTTCCTAATCAGCACTTAGACGATTTAAATAATATTCTGCAAAAGCGTGTGTGTGATGTATATTAAAAGTACAAGTTGAGTTAAATATGGAGCTTAATTTCCCCTTTTAAAATGGAACAAACGCGCGCGGCCTGTGGCTAAAATCAGCGCTTTCCGGAGCGACTTTAATCCGGCAGGAGCGTGCGTAAACCTGTGTCGTTATTATTGTTTGTCATTTTCCTCGTCAACACTTACGGGAGCCGTCACTCGCGCTTTCTGCCTCGCTGGCGCGGTCGCCTGCGCACGCTTTGGCCGCCCGGAGTCCGGGCCCGGTTAAGTCAGAAACATCATTCCCATCCTCGTAGCGGGGGGAGCCGGCATCCTCTCCGGCCGTCCTGCGTCTCTTTTCCGCCCCGATCAAGGCTTCCACCGAGAACGCGTGCGCCTTGACGCTCAGTGCGCACGGGGACCGCCGCTTCTCTGCCATTCCTCCCGACTGTCGGGGAGGCGGATCGAGAGAAAGGAGACTAGAAGGAGTGGAGGAACTCGGCGTGACGAGCTTGCGGGCGCTGAAGTGAAAAGTTGAGAACCCCGGCGGTCATCCACAGCCGCTGCCCCGCGCCGCTGCGCGCAGGACCGTCTTCTGTCCAGCCACTGACCAAACTCAAGCACTTTGGAGGAGCGGGGACTGTCTCCGTTATCCCTTGGTGCCGGTCGGACTTTTGGAGACTGTCAACAGGCAGCATAGAGGAGAGTCGGAGAGAGGGGGCCTGTCAATCACGGCGCGGGGCAACCAATCACGAGAAATCACAGCCCCCCGGAACTTTCCGCTCGTCCCGCCCGCTGTGGGGGCCGCTCGTGCCGCCTTATGAGGTAAAAGCAGAGCCGGTGAATGAATCATGTCTTCAGGCGCAGGAGCGAGAGGAGCGTCCCTGTGGGGAAATTGTGCGCATTTTCACACTCCGGCCCGAGATGCTTTGCATATCTGACCATTACGGTGGTCACCAATAGAAATCCTCATTTCTCCCGGAATGCGTTTCAAGAGTCAATACTTGGAGACATGTCTGAGCATGATAATCATCCCCACATGCGACTGTCTGACATGAATTTTTTTAAAAACACATGTGCCGGCTCTTTATTAAAATCGAATTTCGGCCTGTGCAAACCGCCCCTCTTTGTGACCTAAATCATGGTTCCACATGACATCTTTGCCCAAAGCACGAACCGTAAAGGCAATGGCCTTTAACAATGATATTAAGAATTGAACACTGAAAAAAAAAACTAAAAAATATTTGATTGGAAAAAAATAAATTGGCCATAAATTGTCACAAATAAGCTGTACGGGCCACTCTTAGGAAACTGAGGGGCTCACATCTCATATATTACTTTGGAGTGACAACACACACACACACGCACGTGTAAATAAAATAGTCTAACCAGAAGAGAACGTCACAATTGACTCAATCGATGCAAATTACTAAATGCCTGGGAGTTTGAGGTTACAGGAATTTTCAAAGACATGAGCTTTTTAAGTTGCTGTATTAAACACTCTGGATGCACGTGAGGGCTGGGAGACAGGAGTGCTACAAGACACGGAGGCCGGAGGCGCGCGTGCGTGCGTGTCCGTGGAACTCACAGCTGACCGGGTTTCTCACACGGCAACATCCGAGGCCCGGAGAAGCCGTTAACGCGTCACGTATGAGGCACCAGCGGAATTCTGAACTATCCCGCTTCCCTTCAGGGCTGAGTTCTCCTTTTTTCGGCCTCCACTGCCTTCTTCGTAAAAAAAACAAAAACACCACGTCGTTGGCGTTCATTGGCATACATTTGAGAGCAAATGACTGGACGCCAGGGAGAGGCACCGCGCGCATAATCCACGAGGCATCATCAGATCAACCTCTGCCCGTGGGTATAGAAAAAAAACAACAACAAAATATCTGATTCGTTGTAGTTATTGAATTGGTCACGAATTGTCTGGGGTTCAGTTTAAATTATGGTCTTTGGCCCATGCAAATGAGTTCCACCTATAGACCCTATGCACAAAACATTTTAGCAATAGATTATGATTTCTTTGGGGAAGTTACTATTTCTTAAAATAATAAATAGGATAAATAGTTAGATTTTTTTACACTGTTACCGAGACAATATTATTGGCAGATTTTACGAGTTCTGAGCTATTGCTGTGCGTTTTGTTTTATTCTTAATGTTGAATATTTAGAAAATATGGAAACACACGGTTAACCTAAAAGTCAGATGGACCAGCTGTCTCCTTGTGCTTTTATATAGGAAAACATTTTGAATTTATGGAAATGTGGGAAGGAATAATACAAATTCCATCCAAAATCCTTTTGTCTGGGAATCGAACACTAAGAATATTTATAAACGCACCTCTGACTCTTAAAAGGGACAAATAAAATTAATTTAAAATAAATTGTAGACAGGTGCGTGTTTCTCTTTTATGTTTATTTACCTACACTTTACAACCCTATTAATATTTGGTGAAAAAAGAAAATGTATTTTTGCTGTAAAAAAAGAATACTTTTTGAAAAAAAACTATCTGAGGTTTTATTTAATTCAATTGTAGGCCTATTAACTTGCTTTTATTAGGGATTCGTATTTTGCCCAAAATGTTTCGTTTAATTCATACAAAATTGAACAGCCCAGATAGTAGACACATCAAAAGGGTGATTTCCAACCGTTGGCCTTTATTAAAACTCAACATGAAGCCATTTTCGTTATTTCTGCTGTTGGTCTGACATACACAAAGTATTGGCGATATAACAGGCTAGAATATATAAACAAAGGTTTACAGACTAATTAATTTTTTTATCATGCTAGACAGTTGTAAGCATATAAATAACCTCTATATTTAGCTACATTAACCAGCTAAATTATCTAACTGGGAAAATAGCCTTTTAGCCTACTGTACGTTTTACTGCAAATAACTCATTACCAGAACTCTGTTCGTCAACTCTCATATAAATGAAACGATAAAATAGTGTAAACTGTATTTTAAAATTCCCATTCTGTGTTATCACACAAGTGTAACTTACAGTTTGTTTGCGGAAGGGTTGCTTGCCGGGCGATACCATTTCGGCTCCAGTGCGTTCAATTGTCTCGGTTCCAAAAAAAAAAGTCCTGGGCAATTAACGAATTAAATTTAATTTATTTCAAATTGGGCATTTTTATCTCAACATTGCAGTAAAATATGCCATTTTGTGCAAAAAATATACTTGGGCACATTTATTTCTTTCGTCTAATTAGCTTTAAATAGACGGGAGCGTGCAGGTGTGTTTTGAACTCGTGACTTTACTCGACCAATCAGAATGCAGCATGGTTCTTCTTCCTTATTTCTAAACGGAAATAAATAAATAAGTGAAATGAAAAAATAAATAAAGCCAACCATTTGCGATGGTAGCCGTCACCCACAGACCACTGAATAGGCTGTTTATTAAAAACCTTTCACATAATTAGCGGTGAGCTTTGAAGGGACGCTGGGAAGGCTGCGAATGCCTGAGCAGGGGAGTCTGGGTAATACATTGTTAACAGTTATTTAGCGCGTGCTAATGGGCACGTGGAGCATTGCCAGGTCTTTTTATGGCGGAAGTGGCATTAGAGGCTGGGAAGGTGTGCGAGTCTGTGTGTTTGCGTGTCTGTGTGTGAGTTAGGGAGAGAGACCTACAGAAGAGGCAGAAACGCGGTGGCTTTTATTGCTTTCGGGAGTGATACCTTTCCAAAGCTTTGTAATGCGATACCGATTTTCCTTGAGGACAAGGTTGTGGAGAGTTCCACTTGACCTCAGGGGAGAGCAAAAGTTGTTAAAAATCAGCCCCATTGTCTCGGGAAGCTTTACAGAGAGAAACGCAATGTTCTTGCTGCGAGGCCTCCGCCTCTAAATTCAGGGGCCACTTGGCTCGTGACCTGTCCTGTCAGCGCACACATCTCAGTCAGGAACTGCACAATCCCCACGTTTCCAAGCTATACCTTGAACTCTGTGCCTACAGTTGTGGCAACATTGCAAAGCTAATGGTCTGGGCTCCTGCAAGCACATCCTGCTTGTGCTGGCTGGGAGTCACTCCATCCATGTGAAGTGACCCCAGCTCTCTTTCATAAAGTTAACCTTCCATTGAACGTGTGGTATTTACTGACACGCTTGATAGAAATCAATGGATCTGTGACATTTATAGATTTTCTTTTATGGGCTGCTCCTGCTCTCGATGCCATTTATCTGGGCCTCCGTGTGCCTTGAATATTTTCGAAGTGGAACTCTTGCTGTGGCTCGCAGACACACGAGGCCAGAAGGAAAGAGAGAGACAGCTTGGTAGGGCTTTGTGCACCTATGATTTCCTGCATAAAGCTGTTGGACCAGCGTGAGATTAATGTTTGCAGGTCGTAAGAGCCTCCAACTGTCCATAAATAAAGCCAGCGGAATGAGTTTGATGAAACGTCTTTGATTCGTTCGCCAAAAATCTAAGTCTTGACTGGGTAACTTGAGATGGAGCCGTGAAAACTAAAGCACTGGTGGGACATGTATGGACCGAGACATTGTGGGGAAAAAAAGTTTAGAATAAAAAAAAAAGAAGGCAGTGAGTTTTGATGTTTAACGACACTGGTTTTGATTGAAAAGGCAGATGAGCTGAAAACAGAGGACGGCGGTTTGCGCTGCAGGTTGTGGCGACTGGAAATGTGACACAGTTTCCTGTGCAGGGGACGTCCATTTTACTTATCACAGGCTAAGTCTGTCTTTACACTCGGCCTGGAATCAGGGGGTTTTGCATTCAAACCAACGTTCAGAAAGTATTTAGCATGGACCAAAGCTTTCAGCCTTCCAGACTTGCTTCCCAAGTCGTTAAGATTAGCTTAACTGATATGGATTTTTAAACAAGGCCCTCATAATAAGAAGACTTAGCGAGGTATATTTAGTTGGAACGCAGCTGGTAAACATGCAAAGCGGGTGGACCAATGTAAATAAATTCTTGAAAGGTTTACACAAGCAATCCAGCTTTTCCCACTAAACACCAGTCACGACACATTGCATGACACCAGTCATAATGAATTTACTATGTGAATTATACTCTTCCATAAAGCAAAACTTAAATATGAACCACATCCCAGATCTCAGGGACTCAGTAGAGAGTTCTACCCTTTCTTCTGTCAGCTTTTGAGCATTTAAAAGATTCTGTTTGTGACTGCAGATAACCTTAAGAAAGCCATATAAGGATCCTTCTTTTCACGTTTAAGGTAATAAAAGTAACCTTTCACTAAACTTTGTCACAGTGACCTTTTAATTTAATTATTGGTTGTAATCTCTGCTTACATGAAAATATGAGCTGTATATTGGACACATTTTTGGGGTGGCCAAGTCCTTAATGAAAAGCTTCAACAGAAAGGATCCCTGAGAGATACCCCTTACAAGACAAAGCAAGTTAGTACTATGAGAGAAAAAATAAACTGGACCGTGTTCTTGCAGCGTTATCAATCTTAATCAGAGAAGCCACACACATACTCCAATAATGAAATCCACTGTAACTTTTCAGTTAAAACCTTGTGCTCTGCAACATCAAATAAAGTAACCCCCTTTATTATCTATCAGCTAAAAATGTCCCTAAATGAATCCCTTCTCATGTGTCTAAGTTCAAAACAGATCAACATACTTTTCTGTTCCAGAAAGTTTTGGTTGTGATAATCACATGCAACTTGCTGTAATTTGTACACCAAACTCAGTGAGTTAGGA